GTAATTAATATCATATGTTAAGTTTATGAATTGGGTTTTTTGACAAGATACCATTAAATTGCCTACCAGTGGACGGAGTGGCAGGAGAAAGTGGCTTTTAAGTGGTCTTAGGATGTGGTTATTTTGTTCTTGTTTTGTTTGGTCCTTTGTTTTGTAGCTCATCACTGCGTACAGGCTAAATTGTTGTCGTCTTAGTATACAGGCGTATGGATTGGGGTTACTGCAAATGTGCGCGTTTAGATAGAATAGTGTGCGATTAGTACCAATACCAGTTACAATAAAGGTGTATGCCAATAGCATAGTTTTGTGTCTATATATCTGCATATTGTAACGGATAAACTACTATAAATCCTCTATGCTACTCAATACCCATTATTTAGAAGGATTTACTTGGTATTTAGTATCTAGAAAGAGTAATATAGGACAATAAATTCTACAAATAGAACAATAAGAACAAGTTATCATTCAGTCTTCCCCTAAAAGAAGGTAAACGCCTAGTAAGGTATGGGAAATGTCATGAAAAACTTCCGTGTTTAAACTATACAATGTCCAAGTCATCATTATAATCCGTTGCATCCCGTGTAGCCTTTCCAAGGCTATCTCTACCAGCCTCTCTGATGCCATTGGCAGTAATAAATCTCGTCTTCTTGACCGTTGTCTGCGCATTACCACCCTTGCTACGCCCAAGCTTAATGCCTTTAGCATTCTTCTGAAGGTTGTCCAGGCCAAGGAAAGGGTCGTTTCCAGAACTGGTATCATTCGATCCACCCTGATTGCTAGTAGTGTTGGAGCTACCTGTCGCGGAAGTCGAATTGGCTTTGCTCCCGGCTTCTATAGTGTCCTTGTGGTGAGCCCGAAGGTATTCGGCTCCAACACCCTTGAATTCGCCCAGTGATCTGGCGATTGTACGCTCTCTCTCCTGTTCTGCGAGGCGTTTCCGAAGGCGTTCAGCCTTTGAGTTTCCCCTTCGCTCAAAAGAACCAGCATCTATGAATGGATCATCTGCGTCTAATAGACTGGATGTAGTGCCATTCCTTCCCGGAAATTGACTTTGTCTATCTCCAATAGCTGAAGTCGCAGCCGGCGCGACATAGTATCTAGTACCTGTTGCCCGATCGAAGTTCCCTCCACTGTCAGCATTACTTCGAGTACCGCTTCCCTGTGAAGCGTTTTGTTCTCGCCTTGCACCGCGGAACCCGCTAAACCGTGGCCCAAACCTAGTCGAAATTCCAGGCCCGCTGTTAACTTCCATTCTGCCCGAGGTGGTTTTGCGAAGCTGTGCTTCTACATGGAAGTCACAATATTCTGTTTTGCGAGAGTCAACCCAGCATTCACAAACTTTGCCGTCCCTTTTAACCGCCTTACAGAAACCTATGTCCTGGGCAGTTCCAATCTCTAGAATCGTATCCTCCGATGAATGCAATGTCAAGCTGAACGCATTTGTATCAATCTTATGACGCGGGGGTGGCATTATTGCAGGATTTAAGACAGCAATTAAGGTCCCAGGAGCAAGCCTATAGTAACGGGGAAAAGCCGTCGAAAACAGAAAGAGGTCAATGGTCCATTTCAAATCCGTCAATGTTAGAACCATGTATTTATTAGCGTTATGCCCATCTTCAGGCTCATCATCATTCTCGTTCCCCCCGGTTTTCTTATCTTTATGCTCTTTGGGTGCTGACTTGGAGCCCACAATGCCAAAAACAACAAAATCTCCATCTGTCTCAGGAGATTCAAAACCCGGTCCCTTGACTGTTCGTAGTAGGTCCGGTATACGCATGGTGGTTTTAGAATCGAAGGTGCGTTTAAGGAATGAATGAGGTAAAATACGCGTAGATAGATGTAAAGAGGAGAAGGGTTCGAACTTTGTTGGATCTGCTGGCTTGACTTCAGTTCCTACGGAGGATGATGATTCGCTCCTAGCTGTGCGGGTCACCCTGCTCTCCGAGTTGCTTCGGCCAATCCGTGACAATTGACTGCGGTCTCTTTTGGATGGCGATGTAGGGGGTATATTTTCAGTTGAAAATGACTGCGTTACACGTACAGGGGAGGTCAGTCGTTCGCGTTTTGTTGAAGGGACAGCTCCAGGATCAATTGTTGACTCCTTTGCTGCCGCATGGAACCGCTCCAGTTCATTCTTGTCAACGCCAAAACCGGTGCTTCTCTTCCGCTGTAATGCCCATGATTTATCTCTTCGCTCTTTATCACTGGCCCTACTCTCTATCATCCGATCACTGAAGCTTTTGGGTTTATCGAGCCTACTGGTGGTATCGGGGGGTAGGAGCTGTGTCTCACGACTAGATCCCCTGGTAAAGAGATTTCCGGCTTGGCTCCCAGTGGTTTGCTTGTTATCATAGGGGTTTTGACCCATTGATTTGGGCCGCCTCAAAGAAACATCCGGTGCCTTGCGCCCCTTGTCAATACCCATAATCACTCTTTGGGGAGATATAGGAGCTACCGGCGGAGGTGGTCTTTTTATTGGAGAAAGAGGAACCTGCACATTATCTTGAAATGACGTATCGACAGCCTTCCTCTTCCGTTCTCCCAATACTCGACTTCCACGAAAGCCTTGGATCTCGGGCCTCGGGCTTACACTTCCCGAAGGGCCCTCAAATGATTCTGTCTCTGGATCTGCCTGCTTGAGCCGTGCTTTGCTCTGTTGCAGCCTCTTCAACTTCAACCGAGCCTCTATAGCAGCAAGTTTGAGTTGCAATGTCTCTTCGTCGTCTTCGTCGTCTTCATCTTCTAAATTTTCGTCCAGTATTCGTCTCGCCTTAGCAGATGATATACCATAATCCGTGGCGGCGCGTCGTTTATTCTGGATTTCTTCAAACTTCTTGCGGCCGTTTGGAGAGGACATCAGCGCAGCGTGAGGGGACTTCGGAGGCCAAGGAATATCGTCCACTATCACACAGCTTTAGTAAATCTGTCTTGTAATTCTTGAATAAAAACAATTAAACTCACTCCTGAATCAGGAAACTCTGAATGATAGTTCTTAATAGTCATAAGCTGAATCTTTCGCATCTAGCATGTTGTGTGGAGGAGTGTGGCTGTAATTGAGTAGTATGGGAAGCGACTTCCGCGAAACAACTTCCACTGTTTATTTAACAGCAGGAAATGGCCCATGGCAAGGACAAATAGGCGGCTGACAGTCTCATAGTCGACTTCATGATCCGAATAGCCAGCCACTTAGGATAAAAAAAAAAACCCCAGGATGAAATGTTGATTCTGTGACCGGGGAAGCTTTCCAGGATGACAATCACGTGTGCGGCATGTCCCCAGACAATTTAATATGCGGCGTCAGCGAAGGCGGCGGTTCAGGTCTCATACACCCATCACCATGGTCCTAAAAATTGCTTCATAAACGCAAGAGACGAATGCCTTCAGGCTGAAAACTCAGCTATTCGATTGTCCGTATAAAATTGCAGAAATTAAAAAAAAAAAAAAAAAAAAAAAAAAAAAAAAAAAAAAAAAAAAAAAAAGGATGAATTGTTTATATTTGTTTTTCTACTCGCGTCAATTTCGCGATCGCCAAGCGCCGCTTTTTTTAGGTTAATTAAGCTCGTGTGGGTCTAGCATGTGTTTCTGGCGCCGAAAGGGGGCAAAGAGAACTTCGTGGTTGTCTGTTCTGCGGTCGATTTCGTGACGGGCGATGAAGCAGCAGAGCATGCTGAACGAACCAGGCCTGCACACAACGAAAAAATGAAGACTAGAGCTGGCTCTGGCAAGGCACCAGCTCCTGCTGATGATGGGGCAATGGCCAAACCAGCTGCTGAGCCGCCGAAATTTTACACGACGTTGATACTGCCATCCGATGCCTCCGAAGATGCGCGATTCATCCAGCTTCAAGACCCCCGAACGAGCAGGCTGTCCAGGTATTACTTTTGCCCGAAGCTGGGCGTGTTCGAATTCACGTCGGTTTCGCCACCAACCACAACACCGCGGAGCTTTCTGTTCGTCAATTCAACATACGGAGAAACTCAGCGGAAGGACGTAGGATCAAAGGGACAACCAGCGGGAGAGAATGGATTTACTTCGAAGACCGGCCAGCTTCATGTTGCCACACCCGTGGACATTATGTTTTTTATCCTACCGATAATTGTGCCTTCGAGTCACAGCTCAGAGCGTACCTTTTTCCAGCCGCTAGACGATATAATAGACGCAAACGAGGATATTTCTCCTCATCTCCGCAAGGTTTTATATACCGCGGAATTCAGAAAAACTGTTGAAAGAAGGATGGCATCA